CTCCCAATATAACCTTCACAGGTAATGCCCTAATGAGTTCATTCTTTATAATTCATTTATGTGTCTTGAAGACATGATTCTTCCAGCTCATTTTTCTGATAGGATAAATGATTCAGGGATTTTGCATTATATCTGTCACTTGGTAAATAGAAATAACTACACTGAATTTCCCACCTATACATAGCTCTCTGTTTGATGTATTTTAAAAAAAAATTAGAATGTATGCAATATTGTGTGTATGAATTGTTCTCCACTATTTTTTTCACAACTTTTGAATGCCTTTTGCTAACCTGGCTGTAACTTGTACTTGAGACATTCATTGTGACTCTAGAAGGACAATGCATGCAAAGTACATTTGATTGTACTATAAATCTTTACAAGTGGGAGTATGATGCTTCTGGTTTATTTGTGCTACCCATAAACGGAAGGAAAACCTACAAGATCATGGCAGCTGGCAATAGTTTCCCATAGAATTTTTTCAAATCATAATAAATTGATAACATTGCTAGGTTTTCCAGGTTTGCTTGGATTTATTTATTGCTTACTGTATATTATGGGCTGACCCTTCAGATAGTCCTGGCTCATCAATTTTGGATCTCCTCTGGCCTGTGAAAGGCAGTCTTGCTAAATACGTCATAAATCAAGGATGGATTTTAACCTGTCTGGTTATAATTTATTGAGTACTATATGTTACCCTAAATGTGAATTAATTTATCGTATGTAATTTAGGCTGGTGAATTATTGCAAAATTATAAGACTTCACAACTTGTTGGACCACTACTAATACTGGATTTTTAATTTATTAGACTATCTCTGCATTAAGTACCATATATGCTTCAAAAGGTAGTGCTCAGCATTTAGAACCATGCATTTTCTCATTTAGCAGATTTATAGAATATCTGTGTAAAGAAAGGGTAAACTTAAGAAAATGTAGTTGTTTTACAACATCATGATTCCATAGAAATGTATTTCAAATTAATTTTCTATGATACCTATAGTATAAAGACACTTTGCCAAAATCATTACAGATGAGAATTGCAGGGCTGGTTTAAAATCTAATCCAAATTCTATTTCATTCTATGCAGTATTTCCATTAAATATGATTAATGTCCAGGAATAAAAAAACTAGACTTGTTCTCTTTGTTATAGTAAACAAAATGTTTACACTTCTGATTTTTATTTTAAACCCATTTATCCACTGGACTAATTGATACCTTGGAACTTCTTTGTAACTTAGAACTACGCATGACTCTAAGGAACTGAAAGGCTAAAGGAAGAGAGCAAATCCTTTAAAGCAATGACTTGATAGTTATTTTTACATCACTTCGTGATCACTTTGTTAAACACACTATTATAAAAAAAATAATGTGTATATGTACTGGTACTAAGTATCAGCTGAAAAAATGCTATACATAAAAAAACCCAACAAGTTCTCATCTACAAATTTCCTAGCCTTGTGTTTTGTTCTTGGTAAAATCAGGAAGAGAAATACTACTGTTCTTTAAAAAAATGAATTAGTTAAAATATTGACCACCCTGAAATTTGATTTAGGAGTGTACAAACAATCGTTTTAATTGCCACCAAAGAAAAACAAAACTGACATGTCATCTGTGGGAAACACTAGAAATTATTAATAGTAGGGCTGCACAAAGTATCTATAGGATACTTTATAGCAGTTAATATGAAGATCTCATAAATTACGGAGATAAGAGACACTGGCCCTGAAGATTAAAAAATAATTTGATAACAATAGAAAGAGCTTATCTAGGTCATCTTAGTTATACTTAAAATGTATTTTATATGTATTACATTTATACTGGCTGAAAACTCATTACTTCTTTTATGTTGCTGAGTAATTATTGTTGATTATGTTAGTCTCAGCCCAGATTTAAAAGATAAACACATTGCTACAGTTTGCAGTATTGAACCAGTGTAACTTGACTTGTCACTGAAGTTTTAGATTGTTTTGTAAATTACAAAGATTGCCATCGTAGGGTATTCACAGGAACTATTCAATATTAAAAGTAAACATAGGTGTGATTTGCTGTCTGTCAGCAAATTTGCTGAGAGCAAAACAAATCTCTGAAATAGCCATGGTTATAAAGTAGAAAATAAAAACTATTAGAAAATTCTGTAAGAAATCATAAAATGACAATTAAACAACCTGATGCAGAATTGTAAACACAAGTGGCCAGTATCATCACATTCTATTTAGAAAGGCAGAAATAGTCATTAAATTATGTAGTTGATGGTTGTACTCATTCATCTGGGGGTTGCTGAGGCACCAGCCATATAGTTCAATTTTGAAGATTTGTTATTGTTTAGACCATGTTGTAAAATCTATTGATTGTCCACATGCAGCGTGATTTATTCTTTCAACTAATATTTGTGCACTTGGTAGTAGGATGCCGCAGCCATGGATTGTAACAGACATTTAGGTCACAGACTTTATGGTTTCCATCTAGGAAAAGTAATAATAAAAAAAGCTTTAATATTCTTCACATTTTATTATTTTAAGCCATCTAAACCAAGAATCAGTTTTACTTAATTTTTTTGTCTTTGCTCTTCTGGGCTGCTCCAGTATTTAATATGGAGGGTTATCAAGTCTGTGATAACTAAATAGCTAGAATTGAGTTCAGTAGTCTCAGCACAGCCATCTAGTACCATTTTAAATACAAAATGTTTATAAAGAGCCTACAGATATGACACAAGACCTGCAGAACACACATGCCCTTTTGGACAGGCAAATAAAAAATGGCATCTAGCATTAGAAATGCTGTCAAACACTCTTAAGTAACTAAATAAAGTTTCTATAGTACAACTGCTTGTTCTTTGCATTCCTTATTTCCCCCAATAAAAATGAGATGTATTATAGTTAGATATTTAATAATTTAGGGCTGTAATTTAGTTTCCCATGTACCTGTGCCTCCCTGGGAGCTTGGTGTCCAAACTGCCTGTACCGTTGGATCTCCAACTGCTGGTGGAGATCTCATCCTTGGTTCAGGTGCTTTAAAGCGGGCATCATCACCAATTTAATTTGCCCTGTCTGATTTGTTGTGCCTCATTGTCTGCTCCAGAAGGAAATGAGTCTCCTGTAGCTCAGGGATGAGGTGTGAGGGGCTGGTGGAGGTGTTGGGAACTGCAGACGTACTCAGCTGGCACTTCTGCATGTTAACTCACAGGATGAACCCAAGAAGCTTTTCTATGTTGAATAGGTCTCCGTTGGTGGGAACACAGCTTCATGAAGGGTACTGACAGTAGGAATATGACTTTTGAAACAAATTAATCTCTTTAATTTTTGACATTATCTCTCTGACATTATGATGTTTGGCATCTAGAAATGATTATACTGAAATTCACTTAAGGAGAAGTTCACATATGTATGTGACATAGCAATAAAAAAACCACACAACTGGGATGCACTTTCTGACTCTACTGTGAGCTGTCAACACTTTTTTCTTACTTGTGTGAATGCTAGAAGAATAGAAAAGAGAACAGCAAATACAATTTAGGAGTGGCGTGAAATACGAAGCTAAGACTTACAGATAGCAGAGGAATGATTGTGGATTGTGATTTAGAAGCATGTATCCCTTTTTTATTGGAGAAAAGACAGACTGAATACAAAGTATATGTGATCTTTTCACAAAGCATGCAATTTCAAACTCTCTGCAATCAGCAAGAATCCTTTCACTAACCTGAACTGAACCTACTTTTATCATAATGTAAGGCACTTGTGTGTAGGCTTTTTTTAAATGTGTGGTTTTTCTACTATGCCTTTCAGTCAGTGACTGACCAGCAGACTTCAGATTGCTTCAGAAATTGCTTGACATGGTTTCACACTATTTGATTCTATGTGTATTTAACATCACTGCTTAGACAGTATTAACTGTACTTCATGCTTTTCCTTACTTTATTTTTAGAGTCTTACTTTAAAATAAAAGTGAAAAAAGATGCATGAAGACTTGTAAGACTTGAAGTAAAAGTTACTGAGTTGTAGCCATTCAGTGTATAAAATAGGTTAATATTTGTAATATGTCTTTCTGTGTTTCTATTCTCAACTCTAAGATAAGTTTATTTTTGATTCATATATTGCTTCATTGCCTTCTCTAAAGTGCAACCTTGTCAGGCAGATCTAGGGAATTCCTCAATGTAAACACTCTTTTTCTGTTTTGAAAACAGACATTTTTTCTTACCTGCAAATCATAGATCAAGTTAGAAGAGGGTATTTTTCCAGTATACTTAAAGTGCTTTATTAGACACTACTCAGTGTATTTAAGGATTACCACCTAAAATGTGAAATGCAAGTTTGTCCATTCAGGCTTTTTTCATTATGCATTTCTTGAGGCTTAGCAAGGGATTATCCATCAGTTTCAGAGGAAAGCAGTTCTTGATCATACCAACTGCCAGACCAAACATCACTGTTTAAATTCATGTTCTCATGTGTGTTTGGAACATCTGCTTCCTCTGGGAGACACAAAATAAAAACTGATCTTTAAAAGTTAGGTTTTAATAGAATTGAAGAGTTGTTTATATTGTTTATTGTTACTCTTGCCCATCCATTTAGGATGGTAAGAGGAATGACTTGGAATTACTGAGAGCATTCAGCTGTTTATTGCAATTTGCAGAATGAGTCGTGGGATGAGAGAGCTAATGTGTTTATGTACAAAGACAGGTACAATAAGACTTTGCTGTATTTTGTAACTTAGTAACTCAGCTTACAATTATTTCCTGTTATTTTTTTAGGTTCTGTTTAATGTAACCTGCAAAGAAAACATGGATTATTAATTATGTTGTAACATTACTTGTAAGTTGCTGCCCTTACAGAAAAGACAGTTGTCAAAGTTTGTGAAAAGTTTGTCTCCTCAAAAATTCTAACACAAAAATTCTTTTGGGATATATGTAAGAGGTCATAATTGTTTTATGTTCTTACTCTAGTTTCTTTTTTTTTAAACCTTAAAAATAATGATTGATTGATTGGTTGGTTGGTTGATTTATTGCAGAAACCTTTGAAATGCTCATCAGACTGGCTGAGAATTACACAAGCACACTTTTCTGCAATGCGTATAGAAACATGGCTGCTGAGGCTGCTGCGCCTGTGCAGGAGTTTTTCACAGATGTTGGGCTCTTCTTATTTGGCACAGACGCCAGCACAGAGGAATTTGTGAATAGATTTTTTGACACCCTGTTTCCAGTAGTCTACAACCATGTGATTAACCCTGGTCCGACTGACATTTCACTGGAATACGCGGAGTGCCTCCGAGCGGCGAGAAGAGACATCAGGCCCTTCGGCAACATTCCCAATAAGGCCTTAGGACAAATGCGAAGATCGCTCCTACCCAGCCGCACTTTCTTGCAGGCTCTGAATTTGGGGGTTGAAGTGATCAATACAACAGATCACCTGCACTTCTCCAGAGAGTGCAGCAGAGCTTTGCTGAGAATGCAGTACTGCCCCCACTGCCAGGGGCTGACGCTGAGCAAGCCCTGCCTGGGATACTGCCTCAACATCCTGCGGGGCTGCCTGGCCGGCCTAGCAGAAGTGCATCTCCCCTGGCAGGGGTACATCCAGGCCCTGGAGGAGCTCTCGGGAGCCCTGAGCGGAGCACACGGCATCGAGCACGTGCTGCTGAACTTCCATTCCCTCATCCGTGACGCTCTGGTACAGGCTCGGATCAACGGGCCGGAGTTATCTGAGCAGGTAAGACGCTGGTTTTGTCCACTCTCGGGGCAAACATGAAAGTAGGAAAGCTGTCACTGATAGCTGTTATATTTTGGCCGTTTTTATGGTGAGGTACACATTTGTATCTGAGTTCAGCTTTATTTGACTAAGCAGTTTCTGGGAGCACAAAAGATACTTTTCATGAACAAAAGAAAATTGTTTGATTGTTATCTTATGTGCACATTATGATAAATGTAAGCAACCCTTATTTTAGATACCATTGTCCTGCCTTAAGGAAGCTATGACTTTGCATATATTATTTCCATAATTTTGGAAATTTATATGTTTCAGAGGAAGCAGCACAGTTAATTTGTAACATGAAATAAGTCCTTTCTTACACTTAAGAGAAAAAAAAATTGTGTGAGAGCTCTGTTAGCTGTAAATGTGTGAAGAGAAGAATTTTAGGATACTGCTATGGAAAGTGCTCGTTGTTTAACTACACTTGAGGGAAAAAGGCTAGTATATATGCTAATTTATGAGGGTACCTACCAAAATCCAAATTTTTCCTGTATTGTATTTAATCCACAATTTTTCTCTGTATTTTTACACGCAGACTTCACTGACAGTGGCATATTCTGTATTATGTACTGGATTGGATAGCTTGGTTTGGGGAGATGTCTTTAATTTTGTAGTATACCCTAAAGAGAGTGTCTGGGTGTCCCTGTGCTGTGACATCAGCTGAGGTGCAGGAGCACTTCTAGGACTGCCTCAAAATGTGATTAGCTGAAATTAAAGCAGTGTCTTCTGCTCAGCAGCTGACATGGCCTCTGACAATAAACAGCTTGGCCTAATAACATAAGTAGAGGTTTCTTCATTTCTTACTAATACCCAGAGTCTGATAAAATGGGTTCTTCATCCTGCTGGGATGAAGAACCCATTTTATGAACCCTCCTGGGTTCATTTCTACAAATCTCCCGCTATATCTGCTTTATACCAGCCAGATTCATGAGCCATAATACCCTGCTGCTCAATTTCCTTGAAAAAAGCTGTCATTTTTTTGTAAAAGGGTTTTTCACTAACATTTTGACTCAAAAGTGGTTCACTGATATCTCTGTAATTCCCAAGTTATTTCACATCTGCAGTTGCCTTTTAGGGAAATACCCTGTTCCTCCTTTGATTTCTGTGGGGTCTTCTTTGCCTACCATTTTCAGGAACAAGCAAGGAAAGGTTCAAGAGAAGGACTTGTCTTTCCTACTTCATCCTGGGTAATTTAATTTGAAAAGTTTTAGACTTGGATTTTCACCAGCGAATTGTCGTCAGTCCAGACTTAAAAATCTCTTTGCACACTCATGTTTTCAAAATGAAAGTTTTTAGAGTCCAAAATAGTATATTTCACTGAATTTTAGTAAAAAATTAAATGGATGAAGAGCCCTCCACTTAGTGTTTTTGCTTAATGAAAATTCCGTATTGATCCAAAATAAAGTGCTTTGTTTTGATATTCCTGAAAACTCCATGCCTTCCGTCTCCCCATCCTTCAGGCAATGTAAGGGATACTAAAATTTCTTATGTAATGATATTTGTTGCCATGTGCTTGTCCGAAAATCATGTGTTTACTAAGGCTACGTTAAAATCATCTGATATAGAAACATTTCCCAGCTTCAATACCCACATACTTAATTTTTGACTCCAATTGCACCAGACCTAGACATCTCTTTCACCTAATTTCTCTGTTATAATTGACCAGTCCTTTCTCTCTTTGATCACTAAATTGGTCAAATAAGACTATAATGCAATGATCCCTTGAAACGTGGTGGTCTAGTCAGTATATTTCATATTTTCCCATTTATTAGGTATCAAGACTTAACTCTGACATGTAATAAATAGAGTATTTCAGCTTTAAGAGGTGGAGGACAGGAATTTCATGAAAATTGACTTATTAATATTTATTTTATCTTCAGAGTGACTCATGAACTGTTTCAGGTTTTGATAAGCAATTAATGCATCAGTGACTCTAACAGACAAGGAAAAGATGATTATGAGCAAGCAAATAATGGTTTGCTTAGGCACACAGCAGTCTCCACAGTTTTAAAAGAGAATTTCATTACTTTTTGTGAGTTTTAAAGAAGCGAATGGAGAAAAAAAAAATTTAAATGTTTGGAAGTATCATATATGGGAATGTTAATGGGAGAATCTGTAGAGTATCCTGCTTAATGATACATGTAGTTGTGCAGTCTTTTTATTCATTCATGGCTATGTTTGTGTAAATAACCATATGTGAAGGATTTTTTCTAACACTTCGCAGGAGTATTTAAATCTGATGTATATTCATACTCTAAGCTGTGTGTGGTGTGGAAAGAACACTAATGCCTATATAGCATGGCTTCCTTTTACAAAACTCTTTTTTTCTAGTAATTTACAGCTTGTTCCATTTTCTGCTTGGGTCAGCGGAGCAGTGCCAACTCTGTGTCCATCTGAAATTTGTCTTTCCCTTTCTTGTTACTGTTTCAAAATCGCCTTTAATTCTGCCTCCCACAGCTCTGCTGACTGACAAATGAGTGCAGCACCTGTTTATCACCTCAATACCTGTGCTTTATTTGATGCTATTCTGCAGAATCTAGTAGAGATGTGTGGGCTGTGCAACTATTCGTGTATTTCTGTATTTTCACACCTACATATTGTCATATATTTAATGCCACTTCTGTTCCTGAAGTCTGTATATATCCATATATTGCTCAGTGCATAGTGTACCCCATGCTTTTTAGCTGGAACATAAATTTTTTAGCAAACATCTGTGTGAAGGCTCATGCAGATATAGCATAATAGAGGTTTAAGAGAGCTGCACCATAGAAAACAATAACAGTTGTATTATTAGAATAATCTGAATAATAGGTTATGTAGTTCTTACATTCTGGATAACAGCTAAAAGTGCCCATTGTTACAGAGCACCTTGCAGACTTACCCTGTGCTTCTTTTGTGCTTGGCCAAAGGTGGCACATTCTGGTCTCTGAGCTTGTGTATAGCCAAAGAAATCTCTGTGGAAGGCAGTGTACAGCCTGATGAATTCACAAGAACTTTATGGCACATTTAAGTAAGCCTTACATACATGCAAAAAATCCCAAACCAAACCAAAATACCACAACAAGCCAAAACCCAAGCAAAGGAACAATCTATGGAATTTTTTTTACAAGTTATAGTGAATTGTTTCATGTTGCCCCCCTTCTGTTATTGGAACCACTTAGATTCTGTTATTGAAACCATTTAGATTAGTTAAGACAGAAGGACAAAGAGATATTTCAGCAAGATTTACAAAGTTTTGGTATGGATGGAGCCTACTATCCCCAGCATAAGAACATTTTCCCACTGCCTTTATGTATGGATTAATGTCACAGCTGCAGGCCATGGAAGAGCAGCCTCCTGTGTCACTTCCAGTGTGATTCAACAGCAGTTCAAGCCGGTGTCACCCTGGATTGCCCAAGTCCTGCTCTGGCACCATCCTCAGCTCTCTATTCCCATCCTTTGCCTCCTTGCCTGCTTCCCTGGCAGCTGAAAGTCAAGCTGGATAAGGGAGTGTTTGTACTCTTAGCCAGAGATTCGTTTTGCTGTTTGAAGCCTTGTGCTGCCACGCAAGGGAGAGTTCACTGGGGTGGAATGAACAGAGGACCTGAGAGGAGGGGAAATGGGACTGAGGTCAGGCAAAAAATGAAGGAAAAGTGGAAAAGAAAAGGAGAAAAGAGAAAGCTAAAAATCGCAGGGCTTTATAGTTAAATATTCCCTGCACAATTTGCATGTGAGTTTTGTTCTTGATTCCCAAAGATTAATGGTGTCTGAGTTTAATATTGAATAAAAAGAGATGAAAAAGAATATTGATTAGTTGTTCATTGGCTATTCTGAGCACTGATGGTTTTGGGATCTGAAGGAAAATTAAGTATGTGACCATGATACTAAAAGATACATATGCATATAAAAATGTGGGAATCAGAAACACAAAAAAATCACAAAAATTCTGGCATTTCCTTATTTTGAAAGTGAGGAATTTGTGCTACAGCTTTGGTGAAATTCTTATATCTATTTTTTATATGTAGTATAAGCCTACAAACATTCAGAATGGGATTTTCAAAAGTGGTATGTCTTCGCTGTGTTCTAAGAAATTTCCAAACAGCTGGAGACAACAAACCTATAAATATATCCAAATATTTTGGAAGGTCTCAAGTCCATTCTTCTCAGTCTAATCCTAAAAGAATGTCTAAGTTATTTGTCTTCTAAAAAATAGGCATAATTATATCCTATTAAGAGAGACTTTTGTCTTTTTTTTTTTTAAATCAGTTGTCTAATACTGGAAAGAAAGCAAGGTCTTTCTTGGGGCATAGAATGTTAGCAGAAAGAAGAATTTAATAGGCTTTATTTTGAGCCTTATTTTTCTTCCTAGTTATTTTTGCTGGAATTGACTATAGACAGCCAGAATTGCTATAATAAAGTGATATCTTCAAAGAGAGTAAGAAGGATGATACAGGAAAATACAGGTCAGTCAGCCTTAGCTCCATGCCTGGAAAGGTGATGGAATAACTAATCCTGGGAGCTATATTCCAGACAGATGGAGAAAAAGTTGATTGGGAGTAATGGTTAACCTACTTGACATTCTCAATAGAATAGCCAGATTGATAGGATATGGGCAGGGCAATGGATGATGTCTACAAATTTACCAAAGCCTTTGAGACTGTCTCCTACAACATCCTTAAGTATAAACTGTCAAAATGCACAGTGAGCAAAACTGAAAAATGGATGGGTGGGCTGGGCCCAAAGGATTGTCAGCACAAAGTACATCTGGAGGTAAGTGATTAGTGCTCTGACCCCCAGGGGCAGATACTCTTTAATGTCTTCATTAATGGACAGGGTGATGGAACAGTTTACCCTCAACAAGTTTGCCAACAGAACAAAACTGGGAGGAGCAGCTGATACACCAAATTATTGTGCCATTCAGAGGAACGGGCTAAAAAATTGACCTCAGGGGAATCTGATGAAGTTCAGCAAAGGGAAAAGTC